AAAACACTATTCCCATTGATAATGTTCCAGTAATTAAGGTTAAGGTTTACAAATGATTGGAATCCTTTTCAAAGTTGTTGCTCTCCCTGGCAGGCCTTGTTATGCTACCAGCTATAGTTATTATGACGATATGACAGACTCTAGGAATATTAACTAAGCATATGGCCAGCCCAAAACCATCCTTACTGTATAGGAATGGAACAATCAGTTATGGAATGTTATGAGCTTTACACTATTGTGTTGATGAACAGTTATTGGATATTGTTAATCTCATCACCAGAATGAGTATCATATCTGTTAATATGAGAACTCTTAAGCCTAAATGTTGGTTTGCAGAACAATAAAGCTAAAAACACATGCTGTGCATGCCCTTTGATTGAGAATGTCTGTTTGGTGCTTCCCTGGACAACAATATTAAAAATCGTACTTGTAGAAAAAAGTGCTTTTTTGTTTCATCAAAATAAACCTAAGCCTCAAAATGGCAAAATCCATTCTACCTCTAAACCCAAGAAGAGTTCCTTTCATTTCTCCTAGGTCTCTAAGTCCAGCCCTAAGTCCATGCCCAGTTACGTTGCAGAGCCTGGGCTCCCAAATCTTCCAAACCAGTAAACAGGTCCTCTGAAATATAGTTTCACCCCTGCTTTTCATAGTGTGGGAATATCTGTTGGTCTTTTCAGACACCTGGAGCAAAAGTATCTCAGATGCATGGGTAAAATACTTGGTTTCCAGGGGCTACACACTAAAGTTTCACTTGATGTCTCACTTCATGCCCTCCAATCTGCCTGTGTCTCTTCACAGGCCAAAAGGGCTTCACAATGCCTTGGAAGACTTCCTAAGGCAGGGAGTCCTTGCCACTGTTCCAGAAAAGGAAATGTTTCAAAGTTTCTATGAAAACCTGTTCACTATTCCCAAAGCCTAATGGGGCATTCATCTTATACGTGAAAGTTCAAAAATTTGCATAGAATCCACCAGGTTTGTCATATCCTCCCTTTATCAGATAGATTTTCTAGCCCCTGTGGACATCAAAATGTGTACCTGCATGCCCCCATTTTTCCTGTATATCAGTGCTACCTGTGATTTGCTGGAGGCAAACAATGCTACAAATTTGTAGCCATTGTATTTAGTCTTTCTTCTGGTCCCATGTCAGGGCTGGGCTCCTATTACTTAATGAGCAGCTCTTTTCTTTCAGTGCTCAGTAGTTGCTTAGCTGTTGGGTAATTAACAGCCACTCATCTTTACAGTGATTCACCTGGATACTCTTACCTGTCTCATTAGTCCAGCCCATAGCCAGTCCTTTTTGATTTTTTAGCAGCTTAGCTCTTTACCTCTTTGCCTATGCATGGTCTATGATCTCCAGTGTGTTCCTGCCTGTGTTCCTGTGTACAACTTGGTCTGGCTGACTTGTATTCTGATTCCTGTTCCTAGTGTTTGCTCCTGGCTACGCTGACTTCTGGTTTACTGACCCCGGCTCATCTGAGTACCCGCTCTGGCATCCAAACCCTGGCTTCTGTTTTTGACTATGTTCCTGAACTGTGTTTTTTTTTGCTATTTCATTAAAGGTGTGATTGTAACTGCATTTTCTGTCTCCATCTGGTTTATGGTTCTTGACAGCCCCAAGTTATCACTAAATTACTAGCTTCAGTGCTAGCCCTTCTGCATTCCCAGAGTATTCCAATAGTGGGATACCTAGATGACTTTATGCTGAGAGATCAGTCAGCAAAGACTCTGTCAGACAATGTCCGGCAGACTATCCAGACTCTACAAAGGTTCAATTGGATCCTGAACCTTCAGAAGTCATAGTTAGAGCAAACTGAACACTTGGAGTACCTGGGACTATTTCTGGATATTGCTTGATCCACAGTTTTTCTTCTGCAAGATAAATGCAAGACTCTCCACTCCCAAATTCAAACTGTACAGTCCAGGAGCTGTCTGACTCTGCTTTTGCATGAGAGTTTTTGGGCTTGATAGTAGCCTCATCTGAGGCAATTTCATTTGCCCCATTCCATTCCAGTTCTGTTGCAACTTAACATTATGACACGGGACAAGAAGACACAATCTCTGGATCAACTAATGTACTTGCACCAAAGACCTGATTATACCTGACGTGGTTGTTCAGGCATCCTGCTCTGAAGTTGACAAAATTCTTCCTTCCATTATGCTGAATGATTTGCAAGACAGATGCCAGTCTGAGAGGCTAGGGAGGAGTACTATACAGTCTGACAGTGCAGAGGACTTGGATGCCAGAACAAACTCATCTTCCCATCAATAGTTTTGAGCTCCATGTGATCTAGTTGTCCCTTCAATGCTGGACTGTGTTGAAGGCAGCAGGTCCATCTAATCAGGATTCAGTCCAACAAAACCACAGCAATGGCTTATATCAATTATCAGGAAGGAACCAGAAGTCTTGTCATGGAAACAGAAGTGGAAAATATTTCTGTATAGGACAGAGCTGTAGGTTCCAGCCTTCTCCTCTGTCCAAATTCCAGGTAGGATGTTGACAGGCTGATTATCTCATCTAGCAGCACTTGGAGTTTCAGGACATCTCTTGCAGATGGGGTCCACTAGATGCAAACCTACCTCTTATTACACTGGTCCAGGTGCATGTTGTACTCAGACCTCATTGGAATCCTGGCAGACACACTGCAGGCTCTGCCAGATCATCCACATCTTTTGTCCCAGGGACTGGTTTACTGTCCTGCTTTTTGGTCACTGGCTTTGATGGCATGGATACTGAAGCCTAGGTCCTAGGATACAGGCCTTCTTGATTTAGTTATTCATAAGCTTTAAAAAGATAGGATATCCACTATGAAAGCATACTTCGCCTGGTGTGAGACAAAAAAAATATCAAACCAGGAAATACTCAGTGGAAAGGATCCTGACCTTCCTGCGTACCAGTCTAGATTACCATTTGGCCCTGAGTGCCATCAAGAGGCAAATCTCACCTCTTTTTTTTTTTCAAAAAAACATTTGCCTCTCATTTCTTGGAAAAGACCTTTGTAAAAGGTGTCACTCGTATGTACTGTACAACCTCTATGATATCGAACTCTATGATATCCAACCTAGTTCTGTCAGCTATTCAAAAACCAACCTTTGAACTTATCAAGGATATTTTCCTGTCAACCTTTCACCCATAATATTGACCTATTAATTGCCATCTCCTCTGCAAAGTGTTTCTAAGTTACTTATATTACACAAGGACAAAGTTGTCTTGAAGCCCAGAGCCCTCTTTCTCCTTAAGATGTCTTTTAGTTTTTTCCTTAAACAGAACATTGTTTTTTGTTCCCCTGGGTGATCCTAGTACATTTCAAAGACATCCCTCTTAGAGCTTTTTGTATTTATCTTACAGCTACATCTTCCTTAAGACAGACTGACTCTCTTTTTGTCATTCCTGAGGGTCTCCACAAGGGACAACCTGCTTCTTGCTCCATCATTTTCCAATGACTTTGCAGATCATCATACAAGCCTATAAGGGTTAGTTCACCTTTTCAGGAAAAAAAAAAAAAAGTTAACTAACATGGTATACTCCCCCTGCCTTACTCCCCCTGTCCCTGCTGTACTTACCTCCATGGGTGCTGAGCTGTCAGTGCCCATGCAGCCCGTATAGTGGTCCTGGGGTTTGAAATTCCCACTCGTCTTCCTCTTCTCTCTGCAGTGCTTTTAGGATGTATTTAAAAAGAAAGCACAGTGGTGTTAAAGGTGAGTATTATTATTATTAATTTTTTGAGATTATGAGTTGAGTTTTGACACAATTTGATTATTTACTGTACTTTTGCTGATACTTACAGTATAATTAATGGGGAAGACTAATGCACTTGGTGTACAACAAAATGGCAGCACTATGTACTGTATATCCAGAAACAGAAACATTTCCTATAAAACCAAAACACTTGACAAAACCACATGAAAATTAGTCTGTGGCTGAATATAACAACAAAATACACTATATATTTCCAAAAGTATTGGGACACCTGCCTTTACACGCACATGAACTTTAATGGCATCCTAGTCTTCGTCCATAGAGTTCAATATTGAGTTAGCCCACCCCTTGCAGCTATAACAGCTTCAACTCTTCTGGGAAGGCTGTCCACAAGGTTTAGGATTGTTCCAGAACCACATTTGTGAGGTCAGGCACTGATGTTGGATGAGAAGGCCTGGCTCACTGTGTCTGCACTAATTCATCCCAAAGATGTTCTATCAGGTTGAGGTCAGGACTCTGTGCAGGCCAGTCAAGTTACTCCACCCCAGATTTGCTCATCCATGTCTTTATGGACCTTGCTTTGTGCACTGGTGAGCAGTCTTGTTGGAACAGGAAGGGGCCATTCCCAAAATGTTCTCACAAAGTTGGGAGCATGAAAGTGTCCAAAATGTCCTGGTATGCTGATTCCTTAAGAGTTGCCTTCACTGGAACTAAGGGGGCAAGCCCAACCCCTGCAAAACAACCCCACACCATAACCCCCCCCCTCCACCAAACTTTACACTTGTTACAGTGCAGTCAGGCAAGTACCGTTCTTCTGGCAAACCGCCAAACCCAGACACGTCTATCGGATTGCCAGAGATTGATTGATTCGTCACTCCAGAGAACACGTCTCTACTGCTCTAGAGTCCAGTAGTGACATGCCTTACACCACTGCATCCGACGCTTTGCATTGCACTTGGGGATGTAAGGCTTGGATGCAGCTGCTAGACCATGGAAACCCATTCCTTGAAGCTCTCTACGCACTGTTGTTGTGCTAATATGAAGCCACATGAAGTTTGAAGGTCTTGCACTTCATGCAAGAGCGGGGTCAGGCATGCACTGACCCCGCTCTGTCATTTTACGTGGCTTACCACTTCATGGCTGAGTTGCTGTTGTTCCCAGTTGCTTCCACTAGCAAGGAAATTTCATGGATGGACTTATTGCACAGGTGGCAACCTATCATGGTACCATGCTTGAAGTCACTGAGCTCCTGTGAGCAACCAATTCTTTCACAAATGTTTGTGGAAGCAGTTTGCATTCAGATGTGCTTGATTTTATACACCTGTGGCCATGGAGGTGATTGGAACACCTGAATCCAATGATTTGGAGGGATGTCCCAATACTTTTGGCAATATAGTGCATATTTCTGCTGTGTTTACCTCCAAAATATAAACAAAACCCCTCACTGGTTACACAAATATAAAGTACAATCAAAAGTTAACTCATGCAATTGTTCATAAAAATTATGTGAAAAATAAAGTTCCCACCCAATGTCTGCATAGCCCAGAGAGCTGCTAACGCATGATATGAAATCTGTGCTTTGAAATTAAGCATTCAGTGCTACCTACTTTCCAGACCACCAAAAGTGCCAACTTCCTGCTAGAAATATATGATCTCTGCTTTATAGAGATTAAATGATATTGTTAAAAATGTTAAACCATGCCAGACACACTGGGGTGTATTTACTAAAGCTGGAGAGTACAACATTAGGCTCACATCTGCATGGAAAACCAATCAGCTTTCAGGTTTTATTGCTTGTTAACCTCCCTAACAGTATTCCCGAGTGTAGCTTGGGGTAAAATGTCAGTACCAAAATCGGTAACCCCGAGCTACACTCGGGCTTACCATGCAGCGCTGCATAGGGAGTCCCTGCAGCACTTACCTTGTCCTTCGCTCTCGCGATGTGTCCACTGCAGCGTCCCCGGCCATCTCCTCCGGCAGATGCTGGCATCCGGCTCCTGTGTTCCGGTCCCTGTGACGTCGGAACGTACGGGCGCCGGCGGCGGCGAGAAAATTTGAAAATTTTAAAAAATTTCATTTTTTTCAAAACGATTTTTCATAGTAAAACATTGCTGTTTCAACCCATTTCACATACATTTTGTCCCTAGTGCTCTGTCCTGTCCCCTGTCTGCATTTTGAATGTTCTTTCTGCCTGGAAACTTAGAAAAGTCCACGGCGTCCAAAAAGTGTCCCTTTAGGTCAAAAGCGGGTTTAGATCAGCTAGAGAACAGCGATAGTAAATCAGAACCACTTGCAGAATTGAGTGATAATGATTCGTGGGGAAATTCCTCATCAGACACTGAAAACAATTTTGCGACTTTGCTCAGCAATGTGCGAACTTGGCGCTATATTTCAAATTTCAGTGTTTTTTGTTTGATTATATTATTGAATTAAATGTAATATTATTATATTATTATTTTTTATGATTATTTATTAAATTATAATTTATGATTTTGTGTTTCAAATTTTATCATACCCGGGATGCACCGCCCGTTTAATAGACTCTTGTTCGGACAGATTTCAGTGAGTTATTCCTAAATATTACAGCCTACAATAAAAAAACTACATATTTCCATGCAGAATAATGGTACCGCTTTCAGCACCAAAAATCTGAAATAATCATACTGCTAGGGAGGTTAAAGCTTAATTGAACAAGCTAAGGTTAGAAGCTGATTGGCTTCTATGCAGAAGTGAGTTTGATTTTGTACTTTCCAGCTTTAGTAAATAAACCCCACTGTATGTTTTCATGTAAAATTGCATGAGTTAACTTTTGATTTTACTTTATATATGTGCAAGCAGTATTTTTTTTCTTATTTCTTATGTAAAACACAGCAGAAATATATTTTGTTATGCACAGGTATATTCAATCACAGACTGGTGACTAGTTTTAACCTGGTTTTGTGCACTTTTGATTTGATATCTTTATATACTTAAAGGTGAGTATTACTACCAGAGGAGTACAGCACATGGCAATGGGTGAGTTTGAGTTTACTTAAAGCTGAACTCCAGATAATTTTTCCCCCATGCAGTGGGGCTGTTCCTACACTGCATACAGTAACTTCTCGTTTTTGTCTATTTGTTTTGTGTGGTGGACTGTTCCTGACATCATCATGCCCATAGACCGGTTCTGGATAGGACAGCAGGAACAGTCCACTGCAGGACATGGGGAGCCCCTTTTTCCAGAGGATCAATGGATCAAATGAGTATAGGCTCTGTGTTCACCCCTAGACAAAACAAACAATTAACCGATGCTGTGCAGGCACAGCCTCACTACATGGGAAAAACAAATTGCCTGGAATTCTACTGTAAAGTTGCTCACACTCCGTAGAAGAAGTATGTAGACACTCAAGGCAATGTTAAGATGCCAGAATTAAAAACATGAAAAACTGCATCCTGTGTTGCTACAATACTTGAAAAAGAATACCCTTTTAAGGTCACACTCTTATCCAGTCCCTAGTCTAGACAGAAAGGAAAAGTCCTATATTTGTTTTACATGTGTAATTATGCATGTTTGTTTTCCTGGCACTTACCTTTAGAGCATACACTTGGTGGATCAAAGACTGAAAAGTCCATAGACTCTTAGATGTATGCATAAATACTCTGTCATTTCATCTGGCTCAATGACAGAGGTATCAGAATGGCAATCCAAGTCGACTGCTGGTGATACATCTTGTACATGTGTCCTGAAACATGTGCTTGCTTTCCTGTAAAAATACACTTGTAGAATAAACGGTTAATAATGTAAACATTTCACTCATACTTCCATAGGTGTGACCTTTTCATTTTACCCTACTCTTCAAAAAGGCAGAATGTTTGGAATGTGTTTATAAGGAAAATGAAAGTCTGTTTTTTTTCCTTTTTTGAAACCCAGCATAGTATAATTTGTCTAGCACTTGAAATAGATTGAACTGTTTTTTTCTCTGTCAGTATTTAATGTACTGTTGAAATGCTGTCAAGTTTTATTGTAAAAAAATGTACAGAGGACAAATGTATAGCATAAAAAAAGAAAGCTTTTGAAACAGATGGCAACTCTTTGGGGACTACACAATCATTATAGAGACTGGTTTGGTTTGCATTATGCCAAGTAAAAAAAAATTCTATCAGAGTTCAATAAGATTTTCTACATTTCTCATTATTCATAAAACTAGGAGTAATGCAAGAAATGTAGCATACAATGTCATTTCTGTTGAATATGATCATTAAAGTCAAGAGTAGAATCTGGTCTTCAAGTAAGATAAACAAGAGTTTTGACTAAACACGTTTGTATACTGTATTCTACAGCCATTACATAAATAAGTTTGCTAGGATGTTAAGAGCACTCAAATTAATACATTACACAGAAATCACTGATGGAAATCCCAACCTAAAGGAAAACTCCAGTTTTGTTAAGTTGATATTACATTATACACTGCTCCAAAAAATTAAAGAAACACTTTTTAACCAGAGTATAGCATCAAGTCAATTAAACTCTTGGGATAGTGATCTGGTCAGTTAAGTAGCAGAAAGGGTTGTTAATCAGTTTCAGGTGCACTAGAGGGGCAACAATGAGATGACCCCCAAAACAGGAATAGTTTTACAGGTGGAGGCAACTGACATTTTTTTCGCTACTCATCTTTCCTGGCTGTTTTTCATTAGTTTTGCATTTGGCTAGGTTCAGTGTCACTACTGATAGCATGAGGCTATACCTGGACCCTACAGAGGTTGCACAGGCAGTCCACTCTCCCCAAACATGGGGAGAGTGCGCTTTCCCAAAACGCTATTGCACAGTCACAACGCTCGGAATGAAGGTTTGGAGAGTCACCACACCTTTATGGCTTGTGCTACAGCACAGTGGCAAGTGCCTAGCCATTTTTTTCCCAGAAGGCTATCCCTGCTGTCCACCAGTTTGTGGGATGTACTGCATCTGTGTCCCTGGGCCATATGGTCCAGTGAGTATAGGCAGGGATGCTACATATCCTTTAAGGCACAATGGTTTCATTTTCTGGAGACTGGAAAAAGATGTAGGATAGGGCACACTGTTGGAGCTGGAGGTGCTGCCACGTGTCTTGTCTGATGATGACAGCACAGTCATCTCTACCCCTTCCCTTCACTGGCCTATTTCTCAGACTCTTCTGAACCAACAGTCCCCATCAAGACCCACGGATCATATGCAATATAGCAGACTAAATTCATCCATGCTGTGTTGCAGCTCATATTTCTGAGGGACAGGAGCCACAGTTTCTAAAAGCTCTGCATGCCCAGGTGAAAAGGTGGCTGACCCTATCCCATATTCAGACAGGTGTGTGGCTGTAGCACTAATCTGCTAGTTGAACTTTGTTTGGAAACAAATTACTCATGTATTTTGCCTGGTGTATGTTGTTAACCTTAAGGTGCATCAGTTTACCATGAAGTACTATGACTTCTAGGGGATCCATTGCCAGGCCAGAAGGGTTTTGTAGCACTTCTGGAGGTTATACACAGACAGTGTTCACCTGACAGAAATGCAGCACCAACATAAACTGCCTGCTAAGCACAGAGAGAATGAGTCTTATCCTCAGCGACACTGGGGAATCAGAGTCCTCTGCTACAGGCAATTTGTGATGATTTTTTTTTTAATACCTGTGCAAAAACCCCAAGATTCAAGGCATCAAAAAGAGGGACTACTCGTTCTCCTTTTCCTCCTTCTCTATGCCAAAAAAAAAATAAGTTAATTAAACCAGACAAATTAGAGCCGGAACTTTAATTTGTTTTTAGGAAGAGAAACTCTTTGTGCCTTCTGTTTCAACACTTGGCAACATTTCCATTGACCTGTGTATCTACATTAAGACCTGTGCTTGTTGTCTTGAAAATGGCAAATTTGCCTTAGACACCAGGCACAAAGTCTAAGTGGCACATGGCATTCACCAGCACACCCTGCAAGGAGTGATCGACTTTGCTGCAGAACAACTCCCAGGTTCCAGCCATAGGGCACTCCTGGATTGACATCATTTCTTGGCACTTAAAAAAAATTAAATTGCGGACCAAAAAACTGTCTTGTGTTTTATACATTTTGGCCTGTTGGGGTAGCTTACATACTATCCTGCTTTGAGTTAATTTTTTCACAAGTGTATTTGATATACTACACTATAATTTTTAATGTAAAATGTAAAACATGATTGCCTTCTGTGTGCACTGTTTGGACTATTCTACCTGGAAAAGTTTAAACTACTACCTTGCAGCTGGTCAGTTTTTCCTTCAGTTTCATTGGAACAGTGACCTTTTCTTTATATTGCAACAAAACACCTGTCTGTTCACAAAAATGCTCTGTTGTTGGTATTCTTTCTTACGTTTCCCTGAGATGATACATTTACATTTCTAGTGTAGCAAAACACCTACCTTGTTTGTA